CAAAAATTGGACTTCGCTAATATTGATAAAATTGATAATATTAAATGTCAATTATTTTTTTTAAAAATCCGAATAATTTTACATATTCCAATTTCGGTCCAGAAAAATTCAAAACAATTTAAATAAAAATATCTTAATTCGTAATGAAAAAAATGTTATTAAAAAATGTTATTCTGAAATCGAAAGCTTTTTAATGAACATATTATTAATCATTCAATTTAAAAAAGAAATAGTATTAAAGAATTACTCCATTTGTTCCATAATAACCGTTTTAAAAAAAAATCATATTATTTGTCACTTTATACTTCCAATACTGCATTAAATGCATTTTTTTTCTTGTTAATTCGATTCTAAGTATTAATTACTCCATCTATCTCGTGTTATTTGTCTTTTTAGAGTTTCTTGTCCCAAATTATTTGTCATTTTAGATTTTCAATGAAACATTAATTACATTATTTTCAATTTTACCCGTTATCGCTCTAAATTAATTAGTTATAAAACAATTACTATCAATGATATTTTAGTGATTTTCTATGTTTTTTTTACTATAATCTATATACATTTATTAATTTTATTAATATGTGCGCAAACAAGACAAAACATCATCTAAATTAGGACGAGTGAGTATCTCTTATCATATCATTAACTAATAAATGTTATTTTAGTCTTTTTAATGTATTTTTCTTATAATCAAGACATATTTATTAATAGGGATAATTCGACAAACCCCCTCATTAGACTCCTCTAATAACAATGAGTCCAAATTTTTGTCTTATTTTTAAGTTAAATCTAAAGCATTTAAAATTAGGGGTAATATGCTAGAAGCCCCTCAAATGAAACTTAATTTGAACTAAATAACAACTTCAAATTCAGTCTTTTAATTAAATCCTTAATTGGAAACAATATATGACAAACATCCTTATATTATTTTTTTTCCCTAAATTACCCTTATAACCTAAATCTTTTAATCTACATATTCATTCATTTTTTTAATTAAATTTATTTCTATTATTTCTTTTTCCCTCATTCTCTGTCTATCCCCTCCCACTCCCGTCTCTTTCTTTCTCTCTTTTCCTCTCCCTCTCTCTCCATCGTTGCTTTCTTTCTCTCTCTGTTTTCTTTTTTTTTTCTCTTTTTATCTCCCTCTTTCTATCCCTCTGGACTAGTCTTTTGTTTGGAGAAGCAAACGGGGGTGGCGGCGGACGGGAAGGCGGCGGCGGAGTGGGCGGAACTGAATCTTAAGGCGGCGGCTACGGTTAATCTATGGTGAAGGCGCCGACGGAGTGGGTAGCGGTCGCGCGTCGGATCTATGGTGGCGGCGGTGGATTTGAAGCGGCAATGGAGTGCGTAGCGGAGGCGGCTTCGAGGGTGACGTGGCCCAGCGGCGGCGCTCGGAGTTCGAGAACGGTGTTGGTGGTGCGGTGATGCTGGGTAGGTGATGGCAGCGTGGGTGGGGTGGATGGTATCCTTAGAGGGGTGGATGGGGGTGGGTGGCCTTTGGCGTCACGAATCTAGGGTTTGGTGGGTGGATCTACGGTTTGGTGGTATGAATCCAAAATTTTTCGATTTGATGTCTATGGGTTACTATGGCCGGTGTCTGACGGCTAGGGTTAAAAGGAGAAGTTAGGGTTTCAATAATATGCTATCACAGATGTCTATTGATTACTACGGGTTACTACGGATTACTACAGTTTTCTATGGATGTCTATACATGACTGAGACCGATTTTTCTTTTTTTAAATTCATAATTTTCAATATTACGTAGAAAATAATGGAAAAAATAGATTCCTAAAATACTGAAAAAATACGAAAATGAATTAAAAAAAAGAGTAATGTGTTGTACGTAAAAAAAAATAATCAAAAAAATGTTCGATGATGCAAAATGAAAATGTTAAATGCATAATATAAAATGATAAACGCAGTTAAATGTTACTTGGTGCAAATTTCATATTTTGTGCGTGGAGGGCATTTTTGGAATAAAATTTATGAAGTATGTGAAACAAATATTTAGTTAGACTTGTCATTTAGTTCTAATAAGTTTTGTCACCAGGGACCTATATCATAAGACCCCTTAAAATTAATAAAAGTTAATATAGTTTGACAATTATAACCTTTTCTCTTATCACGTTTCTTTATATTTTATATTTTATACCTTGTTCTTCTGTATTTCTATGTTATGTCCCACACCCAGACCCTAGATTTGTAGTTCTTCCTATCTACTTTCTTCCTTTTCTACACAAACCACACCCACGTGGTTTCAAATTCTCCAGTTCTCGGTCTGCCCCTTTGTCGGAAGAGTGAAATCATTCGCAAAGTAATCCACATTGTAGCCTAGTTGGACGAAAGACAACCTCGAAGAATTCAAACCTTTTGCTATCATTTGATTTGCAAGAAACCGACGCCAATGAATAAGAACCATCAACAGGAAGGCAGTTGGTTGAATTATTTGAAGTACTCAAACGGAAACCCGAGGGGTAGGAGCATGCGGGTTTATTCACGGAAACGCCATTAGTATATAAACCAATCTTCACACAAACAAATGGAATTCGACATGTATTGATAGGCCAAAGAAACTCGTGTTTTTGTGCAGCCCTTGAGAAGCTATTGATAATGAGTCACCATTTATCAAGAATTTAAAATTGTAATTACATAGTGGTTTTCATTAATTATAGAATGGATTTTCGTAATGTAATTCGTTAATTATACACTGGTTTTCGTTAATTACAAAGTGGTTTTCATTAATTACAGAGTGATTTTTGTTAATTGACAAGTTTTTAGTAAATTTTTGTAATGGAATTTTTTAATTACATAGTGATTTTCGTTCATTACAGAGTGGTTTTCATTAATTACATAGTGGATTATGTTAATATTAATGTGGATTATGCTTATTTTATAGTAATGTTTACTTTATTTTCATAGTGGTTTTCAATAAATTTAGTGGTATTCGATGTGTATATTTCATTTTTTTTTAATATGAACCATTTAAAAAAGTGAAATAAAAGAAACCAGTTTTTGTTTTAAATTGATATAAGAAAAACTATTTAAAAAATAAAAGAAAAATGATAAAACAAAACCGAAATGGCGTGATAGGGGTGATAATTGGGGGATGGTGTGGGAAGAAATTAGGGGGATTTGTATATCTACCAAAAAATAATGGATTTTTCAAAATAATATAATATGATAATTTTTAGTAATATAAAATAAGGGCATTTTGGATAATTCAAATCAATTGGGTTTGAAACAAATATCAATTAAAAAAAATGGATTTATCAAAACTCAAAATTCAACGAGGGTGTTTGTCATATAGCCCAAAAAAGAAAAAATCAGCGAAAACGATAAACGCAGGACGAGAAATGTTGAATGTAGTTTGGCCGAAAATTGCATATAAGAATAGTATAGTACTTTCGCTTTATCAGGGATATTTCAAAGGATAATTTGGGCTTTGAATTTATTCGTAATTTATTTGGTGGCCAGGAAGCCGATGGATGGGAATTTGTTAAGGCCATCAAACCTATGAACAAATTAAAATGGTCAAAAGGCACGTTTAGTGTGTGTTTCTTGATATATACCATTTGGAGCACTACTTTCTTGACAAATTTTTCCCTTCTTCGTTTTTCTTATTCAAGCGTGTGCATATATATTAATGACCACCGTTTTAACAAAATCATATTCACAACATATAAAAACAAACACTGCCACATATCAAATTTCTATCATTAAATTTTGTTTCGAGACAAAAGTCTTCTCCTAGTGTGAACATCTTAATGGAATTTCCCAAAGAAGAAATTATATATATATATATATATATATATATATATATATATATATATATATATATATATATATATATATATAATTTATTTTTAAAATTCAGAAAGATCGAAAGTCGAATGTTGGAAAATGGAGTGAAAACACTATTTGCAAACTCTAAAATTTTCAGATCAAAATCAACGAAATTCGTAATACTCGTTTTTTATCCACTTATAATATAACGTACATAGTAATATTAAGGGCAAATTACGGTCGTCACCTCCTCAGGTAATGTCAAATTACGAAAGAAAACTCATTATATATTGATAGTTACAACCACCCCTGAATTATGAATCTTCTTGCACATTCGCCCTTGCCGTGTCAAAGTTAGTGGAATCTTCTAGATTATGTCTCTTGGCTTGTAAATATTATATTGTGGTCATTAGAATCTGCATTTTTTCATAAAATGAGTACAAATTAGACAACATTCCACAAAATCTACAAAATTCTATTGAATTTGACACCATAAGGGTCGACGTGTAAGGAAATTTATAGTTGAGGGTGTGGTTTGTGTGGTTGTAATTACCTAAATAGAAAGAATTTTTTCTTAATTTGACTTTATCTCAATGGAGTGGCCGCAATTTAACCTTGTATTAATATTATTAATGTAATTTTTGGAAGAAACAAAAATCGAAAATTTGGAATTATTTTGTTAAATTAAAACCTGGTCGAAACTTAAAATCTCTTTAATCTTCCAAATCCATCCAAATAATTTAAAACTTAAAATCAGAAATCGGAATTTTTTAACTTAATATTCAAATTCAGATTGAAATATACAGAAATTGATATATTTTTTTCAAATTTAGAATGAAAAATCAGATCGAAATGAATGAGAATCCAAAACTTAATTCCAATTTACACAATATAGTCAATAATTATTAATAAATTATAATCCAAGTAACCATCTTTTTCTTTTTCATTAAATTAAATTCAATTAAATGAAATGTGCTCACATCACAAAATAGGGTAGGTTATAGTTGAGGACTTGGCCAATTCATCTTCAACCTTCCTGCCATGGAAATTCAACTCTTTTCAACCTAATCTTTTGAAATTTCAGACACACAAAAATTAGATAAACTAAATTAATAATTAAAAAAATTCAGACCAACAAACTGTTTAATCCCATAAAAACATTTTTTTTTCTATTTTCTTGAAAAAATCTGTTTTCTTCAATCCCAAAATTCCCAAACATGCATATACCACCAGAAACTGATGAAAACGACGTCGTTCGCAACAAATTATCAGATCGAACCGGTTGCGACGGCGGCGGTGTTCTGTTTTTCAATTTCCTCCGGCGATCGCTCAATCGTTTCATCCACTCGAAGCCGCGGCGGCGGCTGCTCTGTTTCTGCCGCCGCCGTGAATCGCCGGAGAAGCGATTCTCCGTCATCTTCTTCGACGCGGAGGGCGTGCAGGTGGCGGAGAAGTTCAACGGCGAAAACCCTAGGATATTCAGCTACTCCGAGCTCTACATCGGCTCCAACGGCTTCCACGACGGCGAATTGCTCGGCAGCGGCGGATTCGGCAGGGTCTACAGGGCCGTTCTGCCCAGCGACGGCACGGCGGTCGCCGTCAAGTGCCTGGCGGAGCGCGGCGACACCTTCCAGAAGACCTTCACGGCGGAGCTTGTCGCCGTCGCCCACCTCCGCCACCGGAACCTCGTCCGCCTCAGGGGATGGTGCGTCCACGACGGCCTCCTCCTACTCGTGTACGACTACATGCCCCACCGGAGCCTCGACAGAGTCCTTTTCCGGCGGCCGGAGAATCCCCTCACCTGGGAAAGAAGAAAGAGAATCGTCGCCGGATTAGCTTCCGCTCTGCACTACCTCCACGAACAGCTCGAAACTCAGATCATTCACCGAGACGTCAAAACCAGCAACGTAATGCTCGATTCCAATTTCGAACCCAAATTGGGCGATTTCGGGTTAGCCCGGTGGCTCGAACACGACCTCGATCCCTCCTACGAGCCCAAAACGCCGCCGGTTTCGACCAACCGCCGCTTCCGGCTGGCGGAGACAACCGGAATCGGCGGCACGATCGGGTACCTACCGCCGGAGAGCTTCCAGAAGAGAAAAACCGCCACCGCGAAATCGGACGTCTTCAGCTTCGGAATCGTCGTTCTTGAAATTATCTCGGGTCGACGTGCGGTGGATCTTACGTACCCGGATGACCGGATTATTCTCCTCGATTGGATCCGACGGCTCTCCGACGAGAGGAATCTTCTAGAAGCAGGGGACTCCCGGCTTCTAGATGGTTCTTACGAACTCTCCGACATGGAAAAAATCATAAGACTCGGTCTTATGTGCACACTCCACGACCCTCAATCGCGTCCTAGTATGAAATGTGTACTCGAGCTTCTCTCGGGAGACGTGCACGGTGAATTACCCAAACTACCCTCGTTCCGGTCCCACCCTCTCTACATCTCCCTTTCGTCGACGACCACAACCAATACGACGACGACAACGACGAAGGCGAATTCTAATTCGTCGGGAGTCGTAAGCATTAGTACGACTTCATCGGGCTTCGTCACCGCAAATGCAGAGACCCTATATTTGACTGCAGACGAGTCCGAGAGAAGTAGGGGTGTGTCCGTCTTTAGTACATCTCGAAAGGACAAGAGGACTTTCGTCGACTTGGAAACCCCTAGAGCGATAACCTACGACGAGATAGTTTCCGTCACGGACAACTTCTCCGACTCGCGCAGGGTGGCGGAGGTCGACTTCGGGACGGCATACCACGGCTTTCTCGAGGGGGGACGCCGCCACGTCATCGTGAAGCGTCTCGGCATGAAGACATGCCCCGCCCTACGGAAGAGGTTCGCGGACGAGTTCCGGAACCTCGGGCGGCTCCGCCACCGGAACCTTCTCCAGCTCTGCGGGTGGTGCACCGAGCAAGGAGAGATGCTCGTGGTCTACGACTACTCCACGAGCCGCCACCTAAGCCGCGTCCTATTCCATAATCATCATCGAAAAGAAAAAAATTGGAAATCGGAGCTAAGTTGGCGTCAGAGGTACAACATCGTCAGATCGCTCGCGTGCGCTATTCGCTACCTCCACGAGGAGTGGGAAGAGCAAGTGGTGCACCGGAACATCACTTCCTCTGCGGTTATACTCGATCAAGATTCAAGTCCGAGGCTCGGCTCGTTCGCCCTAGCCGAGTTCCTGACGAGGAACGAAGACGGGCAACACGTATCGCCCGTCGACAAGAAGAAATCGGTCCGGGGGATTTTCGGGTATATGTCGCCGGAGTATATCGACTCCGGCGACGCGTCAACAATGGCCGACGTCTATAGCTTCGGGGTCGTTCTTCTCGAGGTGGTCACCGGGCAGGTGGCGGTTGACTTTAGTCAACGGGAGGTGTTGCTAGTGAAACGAGTGCACGAGTTAGTCGAAGAGCAGAAAAGGGGTTACGAGGAGTTGGTGGATTGGAGATTGGACGGAGAATTCGAGGGGAGTGAATTAGAGAGGGTGGTGAAATTAGGGATTGCGTGTACACGGTCCGATCCGGAGTTGAGACCGAGCATGAGGCAGATAGTGAGCGTAATGGACGGTCACGATCGATGGCTTGTCGAGATGGAGTCGAAGAAGGAGGGCGGAGACGAGTGGAGACGGAGGAATCGAGCTTGTATGTGTATGGTTAGAAGAATGCAAGCTCTTGGTATACATTGATGTTTTCTTTTTTTTTTTTTTTTTTTTTGTACATTTTTTGTGTTTGGGATTTTGAAAAGATATGTTTTGTTCTTGTGTTTATGTAATTGACACAACAATTTCTTATTTTTGCAACAATATTATATGGCTTGAGTTCAAATTTTTCGATTTTTTTAACAAATAAAAGAAGAAGAAATCTAGTTTTTTTTTTTTCCTGAAGTGAAAAACTAATTCAAATTTTTTTCCAAAAATCTTCGAAAATTAAAAAATCAACATTTCCGAATTCCACAGAATCTCGTCCGAAAAGTTTCGATTTTGGAATAATGTTTTTCATTATTATGAATTCCGAAACTTCCAAATTTCCCGATTTTTTTGGAACGTAAATGGAATACATATTAGATTATGATTTCCGAGCGGATTAATTTCTCAATACGTTTCAGAAAATTTAGAAATAATTTGCGAAAATTACATTATAATATCACTGTTGTTACGTATTCTTTTTATTGCAGTAACTAAGAAACTAAAAATTTCTATTTTCTCCGATTCCGAGCCGAAATTATTGGATTTTGCAATAAGTTTTATTATTCCAATTTTCGAAATTCTGATTTTTGTCAAAATTATTTGGATCGAAATTCAAATTAGTTTTAATTTTCAAAATGGAAACTAGAATGTTTTCAAGGTTTTAATTATGAATAATTTCCCATTATTTCTTTTATATTAATTAAAAATATCAATTATGTATTTTAATTATGAACTGATCCATCCAATTTGCATTCATAGACATATCAAATAAGCTACTAAATTGTTAATTATGTATTTTATCCACTAATTAATCATGAAATCCAAAAGCACGATTGATTTTATAGTCAATTTACTGAAGAAATAAATTTTACAACTCAACATAAATTAGAAATTGTTATATAATCCTCCACATTCAACTCCCTCAATTTAATCAATAGTAATTTAAGTAATATATTATTTTGTGGGCTGAAATATAAATTAGTGAAGAGGAAATTTTTAATCACTTATACAGAAAAAAAAAAACCCATTTCATGAGTTATGGCTTGTTCAACCATGGTTAGTCACATATTTACCTTAATTCTAATATGTTTAAATTTTATTTATAATATTGAAGCTATTTCTCCACTTAGAAATCACGACATTTTTATCTATAACGATCTGCTAAATATGTCTCCGGTGCTGTCTTTTCACTGTGCGTCTAAAAATGACGATTTTGGGAACAAGACACTTCATCAATTCCAACATTTCAGTTGGAGTTTTCGTACTAATATTTGGTCGACCACACTTTATTTTTGTCGATTTCAATGGGGTTCGAAGCATAAGGGATTCGATGCGTTTGATGCCGAACGGAGTAAAACTCTTCACACATATAATTATGTCGCCCGGGGGGATGGTTTTTATGTAAGCAACGATGAAACGAACTATGAGGTTAATCTAGCATTAATGTACCCATGGGAATAAAGTATCATATGAAGCTTACATATTTGAAAAAAGAAAATAATAATAAGAATTTTGAGGGACGATGGTTTATGCATTCAATTAGTTATATCAAAACTTCAATTATTTTGTTTAAAATGAAACAATGTTTTCAATGAAATAGTTAGCTACCATTTATCTCCCTTGTGTTGTTTGGCTCGTCTGCACATACTCAGTGGAGTAGCCAAGAGTAGCCAGTATAGGAACAGGGGCCACAGCCCCCTCCTCCTCTTAAATTTTAATTTTTTTACTGCAATATATGTATATATAATTTATTATCTTTGTATTGTGCTCCTATAATTTTAACAATTTAGTTTTCAAATAAAAAAGAAGCTAAGTAGTTTTAATTCAAAAAAACAAAGAAAAATAATAAATTAGTCCACCCTTAGGACTCAAGTTCATTCTCGATTGAAAAAAAATCCACTCCATTGCACCTATATATATTTATTAAATTCATCCAATGTTTATTATTTAGTCCCTCAAAATTCAAAATAATGCGAAAAAACTCTAAGTTTTTCTATTGCTATCTTCCGATTTTGTCAAAAAAAAAACAAAAAAAAATCATAAATGTTTTTCGAGGGGCGCTGCCCACGAAACCCCAAAACTTTAGGCCCATCATGTAATAATATCCTAAACTCGAAACACTTGAACAATCATTGTTATCATTAATTTCTTTGCGTTATTTGTAATTTTTTAATGTATATTCGACCCTCAGTGATAGTACTCATTAGAAGGGGATAATTACAGTTTTGGTCCCTCAAGTTTGCACGTTTTTCCCTTTTGGTCCCCCATTAACCGCCGTCAACAAAATACACACTAATGTTGTCACATTTTAACACATTTAGTCCCTCCGTATGTTTGACCGTCAAGTAGTAATGGTCAACTGTTGAATTAGGGTTGAATTTGAGATTTTTCATTGAGAAAATTGCACTCAGACCCTTGCATTCTTTTAAAATATTCAAAAAACCCTAAAATATTTTTTAACCATAATTTAACCCCAATTTCATCATGTAATCAATTTGACAAACGACCCCCATTTTTACCACCATTACCACTGACCGTTGACCGCCGTTGATTTTTTTTTTTAAACTTTTTGTTTCGGCATTGACTTTTTTTTAATACTGTTTTTGACGCTGTTCACCGACATTGTATTCTCGGTTAACAATGTTGAATTTTTTATTTTTCTTGATTTTTTTGAATTTTTTCCTATGACTTTTTTTCCCGATCAACACAATATTATAATTGTATAACACAATAATAATATTATATTAATATCTAGTATCGTAATATTAAAGTTACAAACTTTTAACAAAGTTTTTATCTAAACTTCTGAGGCCTAAATACAATTTAAAAAAAATTCTAAAGTTCATAATTTCTTCCCCTCATTTTTTTTCGTGGAACCGCCAATGCATCCCAAATTTCTTCCCAAAAAAATATGAAGAAGATGAATTAGGCATGTGCGGAGTAATTTGGAAATGAGATAATCACTCTAGTGTAACGGTTTTTAGGGTTAACACCGGCCGTTAATTATTATCTTTTTTTATTTGTCTTAAAAATTTCCCGTCATTGAGCTGCGTTGACGTTTTCTATTTTTCTTTTATTTTGACTTCTTTTATGATATTATTTTTCTCGCTGATTATCATCTTTGACTTTCTTTTTTAAATTATATTATTCTCACTACTCAACAATTTAAATAAAAATCAATAAAAAAAAGTGTCAACGTTGTTAACATGACATTCAACATCAGTCAACAACGGCAAAAAAAAAATCAACCGAAAAAAGAGTCAACCAAGTTAAAAAGAAAGTCAACGTCGGATTATCCGATTTTGAAAAATCGGGGTCATTGGTTATTTTTGGGGTTAAATTATGGTTGGATAAAATTTTAGGGGTTTTTATAATATTTTGAAAGAAACAGGGGTCTTATTGCAATTTTCTCAAAGAAAAACCCCAAATTCAACCGTTGACCGTTATTTCTTAACGGTCAAACAGACAGAGGGACTAAATATGTTAAAATGTGACGACATTAGTGTATATTTTGTTGACGACGGTAAATAGATGACCAAAGGTGAAAAACGTGCAAACCTGGGGGACCAAAACTGTAATTATCCCCATTAGAAGCTTCGGAACTTAATTCTTAAAGATCCAAAATAAAATTGATGATTCAAATATTTGTACCAATTATTTTATACAAGTACATGAATAGGTGGTAATTGCTGAATTAAGCACGATAATTTGAATAATTCCTGTAACGCTCTTGACAAATATACAAACAATTGACAGGTCAAACAAAGAGAGAGAAAAAAAAAGTGTAAAAAAAAATTAATAAATAAAGAAAAGAAAATAGTTCAATTCTTGAAATAATTATAAATATATAAATTATCTATTTATTTCATACAATATTGGACATCATCCACTCCACTGCCCTCATATTGCTGTTGTAATCAAGTGGCATTACCGAGTCTCCGTTACTGAACAAAGGGCGTGCCCGTTTCTTGAAAGCCGGATCGAAACCCGATTGAGAAAACGGGGCCCCGTTTGAGATCAAGACACTATCCGTGGAGCAGTCACCGAGCCGAGAGGGCATAATCGGAACATTTTTGTTGTTCATATTATTATACGATAAAAGCCCGTTATTATTATTACAGTCATTAGCAACCTTAATTGCCAGCTCGGAGAGCTCTTCTCTAGCGGCCTCTAGTCCACCGTCGGGGACCACCGTTTGTTCATCGAGAGCTTTGCAAGCTTTCTCGAGTATCGATTGTAGGTACTTGCCTTGTGCCTCTATTCGGATCTCTAGATGCCGTTGAACCTGATTTTTTATTTATTTTTAATTAAAAAAAAACAATATTTTGGTGATGAAATACAGAAATAGAAAGTAAACAGAGTTTTTTTTATTTTTTATTTTTTTTATTTTCATAATGGGCTTTTGAGAAGTGGTGGGGGCCATGGCCCCCGTGTCCCTATGTTGGGTCCGCTACTGCCGTTTAGACTTTAGTGTTGAAAGTAAAGATAAAGAAAATTAACCACGCTCATAGATGGCGTAAAGGTAACTAGTAATCGAGCGCCGATGGAAAATAAAACATAAAATTAATAGAGTTGAACCTCTATAAATTAATAGAGTCGGGACTAGAATTGAATTTAATGAATTATTAAATTATCGAGTTAATAATTAATTTAACTTATTTTCACCGAGTCGGGACCGAGAGAAACTATTATTTAAGCGAAGTTATTAATGTATCGAGTATTAATTTATCGAGGTTCTACTGTATGTAAAGATGAAAATTTGACCACTAACATTATTATAATTTTTTTTTTTGAGAAAAGGGGAAAAAAAGAATCATTGCATATAAGACATAAAAATTACGGAGATAGGTAAAAGAATTTGAACCTCGAGTTGTTCGTGCAGTCTTCGCTGAACTTCCATCTGCGCCCGCAAAGCCTCGGTTACTTGGTAACCACTGTAAAAAAAATGTGAAAGGCATAACTAGAATTAATAAAAAAAAAATTTGGTCGAAAAAAAAATTAAAAAAATCGTAGGAGGTAAGAAGTACTCGTTTATATCTTGTGCCATAGTTTTCGATGAAGCTGATGTGGATGAACCTGTATCCTGACTCTCGGCAATACAAGATGCTGCAATAATATTAAAATACCACCAAATCAATCAACAATAATAACCTACATTTTTATTGTTAATGCGTGCACGATTCTTTATGCAATGTGTTTCATTTTCTTTTTTCCGACCTGTTTCGTACGATTGAACATGAAAAAAATTGCGGAAAAACAAAAACAAGGGTGGAAACATCTGAGATAAACGAGTATGAAAAAAGTGAAAAAAGTACCGTCTTTCGAGTTTTCGGTTAACTCCTTATTTGCTTGCTTCCCCAACCGATACTTCTGCAATACAAAAAAATTTACTCGATAGTCAATGCTTGTAAGAATAAATACGACTTTTTTTTTTTTAATCGGAAATAAAGTATAAAACTAAACCTGAAGATGAGACTTCAAATGATATAAAGTCAAGCCCTTTACACCCATTGTTCTCATAATTGTTTTCGGAGTTGCTTCTGTTCGTAACAAGCAAGTATAATCACCTCGTCAATCCAACTAAATCATCAAAACATGTAACGACGATTCTTAATTATACATATTGCCTATTTATAATCCGTAACTAAATTTCGAGAATAAAATACTCTCCGTTATTTAGTGTAAATAATTCTTTAGTGTGATCGCAAAACCGCCCCCATCTCCATCGAAAATCAAATAAGTATTATTTCAAGATCCTTTTTCTTTTTTAAATTTCCATTTGAAAAAAATTATAAGACCCTGTAATTGAATCAACTCCGAAAAATTGAAAATTCTTGTTCGAACGATTGAAATAAATACTAAGTTCCTTTAGCTAGAAATCTACAAAAAAACAATACACACACACACACACACACATTTGCAGCATAAAGATTCATCTTTTTTTCAACTTTTTTTTTCAGAAAAATTTAAAATAAAAATTAAATTCTCAGCTTTTTAATTCAATTAAAATTAATTAATTCTCAAGCATATAATTTCTTTTTGG